AATTGGTAAGGCGTCTTATTTTTGTCTATTATCAGAATATATATAGCATTTTGAATGGAGGTGTTTTTTGTTGTTGTCCGGTCCTGAAGCAGTAGCTATGAACTATGTTTCACAGTAGGGTAGACACACACTACTTCGAGTACTCGAACGGTAACGAATATACTGCTGCCTATATAATAGCCCAGAATATAAAAAAAGTGATTCATCACGCACCATGAGACATACATATTGAAAGTGCGCATCAGTGCTGGTAACACATATTCCTAAATGATTTTTTCTACGCTGACTTCATATTCTTGGGTGTCTCATTCATCCCCAACCACTTACTCGTATTCTTGAGTGAGAGGGCGCTATTAGTTGCCATCCGTGTTGGTGAGTTCTTTCGACAGCATGCTAAAGCTTCTTTAACGCCACCTAGCTTCCTTTTCGACGTAATAGGGTGCATCTGGTATCGTGTGAACGAAATATTTCATAGCAGGGCACTACCTTCTGTGAAACAATGAAGTCCCAGTTGAAATGCTTTGTCCTGAATGCCAGTGGCAGTGCATATTTAAGCGAGGTGTGTCTATGAGCTTGATCTTTACTTCAAAATAGTCAATGTGATGTCTTGAATGAATGTGCGTGTCAGATTTTGAACGGATCTGTGTGCTCAGCATGTCGTGATGTGGCCCGCCTTTGTTACTCAGCCGTTGAGATGTCACGCTTCTATGTTTGGGGAGGCAGGTTCGCATCTCAATGTTTACAAAAACCTAAAGCGTCCTTGACCTTAGATAAAAACGTACCTTGAGGATCCATTGCAGCCAAAATTATTCTGAAGTTATCGTGGCACGGCTTACAGTCATAGCCCTGTTTTAGGCACGCAAGACACCCGAACTTGACTTTCCTGCCCAGGTGCATACACTAGCTCCACAGAAATAGACCGAGCTATAAGAAAAGGCCGCGGAACGTCTCCATTGGACGCAAATGTTCACAGTTTTCTTCACATTTCACGGAATGTACTAGAGAGGTGTTTGCATCGGTGCAACTCTCAGTAGACCTCGTCAAGCTAGCGTTCTAATACACCTGCAGCGCATTACCAATCCTCAGAGTGGCTTTATCGCAATCACTTTAGGCCAAAATGACATGTTGTTTTTCAGCAACGTTCTCAGTGGGCCAAAACCTAAGATCAGAGTTTTGCTAAAATATGCAGTAATACCACGATGTGTCATGAAACACCGAAGAGAGCGGTATGCCATAGTCGACCAGACCTCAACCGAAGATGGGCTGCGGTTGCAGCTACAGCTGGTAGACTCCTGGTCTAAGCTTGGAAACGAGTCGAAGAAGCTCACTGTGGACGTTATACAGTTCGCCCGAGATACAGCCCGTCTGCGGGTAAGTGCTGCCATAGAGAGCTCAATATTTGCGTATCTATGGCGTACGTCGTGCCTTACATCGTTCAATTTGCGTACTTTGAAAGTAGCAAATTTTCCCAGATTAGGTAAATTGCAGAGAACTTCATTTATTTATTTTTGTTTATTGATAAAATATTGCAGGCCCATTTAGAGTCCAAGCAGGCGTAGATACATACATAGTCAACAATAATAAACGTCATGCATTGAAACAACAAGAAAATGTACATCAATCAATCAATCAAACTTTATTTCAGGAATGCATACGTTTACATGAATAAAATTCTACAGTACAGAGGAGGTCCCGAAGTTAGAAAACATGCATACATATATACACTTAAATGTGAACTACTGTAATATCAACAATATATATATATATATATATATATATATATATATATATATATATATATATATATATATATATATATATATATATATATATATATATATATATTATATATATATATATATATATATATATATATATATATTATATATATATATATATATATATATTATATATATATATATATAATATATATATATATATATATATATGGTACAGTAGCTAGCACAACCACGACCTTAATATAAGAACTAGCAGAAGAGAGTGAAGTGATTCTTTATATGTCTCTTGCGTGTAAGCTAAATCGCATTGCATTGCAGAAAGGGCTTTGTTTTGCTTTATTTATTTTGTAATTGTTGGACACTTTTCCATCGACCATTCTGCAGTGACACATATACCTTGTCTCCACTAACCTTATATGAACGCATAGAAATTATATTTGTTATCGTATGATCACATGAGATTATCACAAGCGTGTCATTCGTGTCGTATGAGCCCACGAGTATACTTACTGGGCTTGATGACACATCATAATGAAGAATAATTGTAAACGAATAAAAGACTACATAAAGCATGGAGAAACATGACGCTCTTTCGCTCTGCTTCTTCGTCCTTTTTGCGGTATTTAAAAGACGTCTAGAATTATCCCTTATTAGGGTGACGTATGAAACTTTTGAAGGATTTGAGCTTCGCTGTCGAGAGTAGAACGATTTACCGCCGTCCGGTTGCCTTTTCCATCACTAGTCTTGCTTGGCTTCTCATTGGAAACAGAAAACATGTACTACCATCTGAAAGCGTAGCCATGGGCACTTTGCGCCCTTCTCGACGCGCGTGCCACCAACACAGAGCGGTGCATATAAATAGCTCGCCGTTAGTATGATTGCGGATGACAGAGTAGTGCCCGAGCATCTGAGCGCATCGCACCACGCAGTCAGTGGTTGAAGGTTCGTATCTCAGCTCACACTCAAGCCGAATAATTTTTTATAATTTCTTATTTTGCATATACCTCAAATTTCCACGGAGGACGCTCATTTAAAGCTTATAACGTAGCACGCCGCCGACACCTTTGTCGGAATTTCTGCACAATGTGTTCTCTAGCACTGTCGCCTAATACGCAATACAAATGATTGATCGATATATGAGGTTTAACTAGATGGGAGACAAAAGGAAAATGTAATCTCCAGTAGCACTTCCTTAACCCGTAAGATGTTTTACCAACAAACGTAAAAAAATGGCAGCATATCCACGGAGTGAATGATGTAGAGTGGGGCGAAGCATTCGCCCGTCCATGTGTCCGTCTGTGTGACCGTCCATGCGTCTGTTTGTGCGCCCGTCCCTGCGTTCTTTCATGCATCCGCCCCTGCGTCCGTTCATGCGTCCATCCATGCATCTGTTTGTGTGTCCGTTCGTTCATCTATTCAACACTCCGAGTCCCACCATCTCGCATCTTTTTATCATTATTCCCCATATAGAAGCACCGCCATCCAGCGGACATTCCAAGGACTAAACGAGAGGTGGCACACGCACACTTTCTTACGGCCTGCGCTTTGGGTCCACTTCCCACCTTTAACCACCTCGAGTTCATGGTATATTCTAGTTCATTGTATTCATGGCACTGCGACCGAACGCTCGCTAAACCTTTCAAAAACCAAGGAGGTTACGCCCAGCGAGTATAACGTAGCAACCTTTCCCTGTCAGATAGGGCTCAATTTACATGCCAATGGCTGCTAATGAGAAATGAGAGACAGGAAAATTCGGCTTTCGCTTTCTTACGGCTTGCGCTTCGTATCTACTTCTCATTTTTAACCACCTTGAGTTCATTCATGGTATATACAAGTTCATTGTATTCATGGCACTGCGGCTCAACGCTCGCTAAACCTTTCTAAAGCTAAGGAGGTTACACCTAGCGAGTATAATGTAGCATCCCTTTCTTGTCCGATAGGTCTCAATGTACATGCCAATGGCTGCTAATGGGGATCGCAGCGTGCGCGTTGACTAAAAGCCGAATGCTCATGTCTCTCATTCCCCATTAGCAGCCATTGACATGTACATTGAGCACTATTTTTTATTGTTAAACAACGCACAGAAGAAATCTCTCACTGGCACCACCTTGGAGGTCAAGTGTTATACCTATTTCGGGTATGTGCCACTGGTGGTTACATACGAGGGACGCCCAAGCCACGCCATAAGGAGCTTCGCCCCTAAAAGAAAAACGGCAGCTTATCGTTCTGATTGATTCGTTGATTCGTCCAACATAAACGCAATAGCTCCGTGTAACGGAACAATGTCTGATCATACGTTAACAATCGCTCGTTAATCGATACCATGAATTCAAAAGGAAAACAATAGGAATAGAGAGAGATAGAGGACCAGTCGACTGCCTCTTCTGTTCAGATCTTCGACCCGTCGAAGAAGGAGTTTGAGCCTCCCGTGCCCATTATCACGCCCGAATACGAGAGCGGCATAGTGAGCTACACGTTCTCATTGATGTACAACGGATCCCTGGTCATCGCACCAACTGTAGAATCGAACGTACGGTGAGTATCAAACGAGTTTCTTTCGTTCGGTGATAAGAGCTATACGGGTCTGCCTCTTTAACATGTTGCTTTCAAGTCGTCGCAGATGTCTGGAATTTTCGACAGTGAAATTTGTTACTCCTCGGAGCCTCGTAAAATCTGCAGGTGGGGTCACCACGTGAATATTTCATAATGAGAACGGTAGTATTTATTGTAGCGAAGCTGTACCTAACTGGGAGATGCAGGCTCTGTACCTTTCTTTTACAAAATTTTGAAGTTGTTCAGGTCATTGCCCAGCTGTCAGGCAATATAAATACTGGATTAAAGTAATTGCGTTGATCCGCATGGTGGCAGTCTGTTTGTTTATCTGCAGCATCCTCGAGCTTTTATTACCGTGTGGGTCTGTTTCTTTACCTGTAGCATCTTCGGGCTTGTATTTGCGTGTGGGTATGCGTATATAGACACCTGCAGAACTGTCTGCATTTCGGGAGATGATAATTGGGTGTATAACCTGGATGCACCAATACCTTTGAACATCTATCTACGTGCAACTGATCCATCCGAAAAGAAAGTTTCTTCACTAGGCCAGCTGTTAAACAGCCTCCACGGTCAATATGGGCCCAATTGAGGCGCTAGGATAGCATGATGCGATCTGGTGGTACGATACCTTTGCATTCTTATTTTTTAGTGTATTCCCATTGGAATAAATGGCACAACTGGTGAGTATGTCTTGCCCTCTTCACCGCAGATTCGAGGTGCACTTGCAGTCGGCATTCTACGCGGACAAGGTGAAGCAACTGGCCATCAGTCTGCGCTCTGGCCAAGATTTCTACGGGCTGCGTGGTCCGAGAGGCGCCCCATTTGTACAGGCTGGCCATTGGTCGAATCACAAGTTCTACCGCTCAGAAAATACAGCTGACTATACGGACAAAGTATGTGGTTCTCTGTGTTATGACACTCACGTTTGATGACGCCTTGCGGTGCTCGGTCATATACAAACGAAAGGAATGCATTCGCCAGGAAAACTGAAAGATGTTCGATTTGGTGTCTATTCGTATTCATACATTTAGCTGTGCAATATACATACACACGGAGTAACAGGGGCGGTGCCAGGATTATTTTACCAGGGGAGGGGGGTACCCCCGATAAGCATAAGGTCCTTCAGAGGGGGTGGGGGCCGGAAGGAGGGGCACTTGGTCGTTGTGTTATGACTACGTTCTCTCTTGGGGAGGGGCAACGGGGCGGGGCAGGCGAAGAGTTTGCAGAAAGCTCCAGTCCCTCCCCCCCACTCCCCTTTCCCTTCTTTGACCACCCCTGGCGCCGCCGGTGCGTAGTAAAACATGGACGACATACACAAATAAACCTGCTTTCTTCATTAAATGAACATTACGCATATTGAATAACTAACATCTGGTAGTGAAAGTAACACCTTGCCAAAGAAAAGAAAAATGTGAAGCCAACCTCGATTCTCGAGTTAGATGTATGTCAGTGGCAATAGTACTTCAGCGTTCCAGTGCCTTGAGGCATTCCTTGAGTGAGCTATGTTAGAGCCCGTTGTTGTCATATCGTTTTGTCCTTGTCACGCTCCTTGTGCCGCAGTATTTTTAAATTATGTACCAACAAGCTCACCTCACAAGCTTAAGGAACTGTTTATTTTGCGCGCTGCCCGAATGGAATTCAGAGGCTACTTAGAATGAAGCACTTGGTTGAGATCTCTACCGCCAGATGCCGCCAACAATCATAGCTTCTCGCAAGAAAAGCATTTACCCTTCCTATGGTCTCATTACCCGCCACGGTTGTCTATTGGCTATGGCACTCGGCTGCTGACCCACAGGTCCCGGAATCATATAAAATCCAGGCTGTGGTGGCTGCATTTTCGGTGGAGGCAAAAATGCTGTAGGCATTTGTGCTCTATTTGGGTGCACGTTCAAGAACCCCAGGTGGTAGAAATTTCCGGAGCCCTTCACTACGTACGGCGTCTCATATGGTAATTTTGGGACGTTAAACACCACATAAGAATAAATCAATCATGCCCAAAATATTCTTGGGTATACTTTGACTTCATTTAGTTTTGCATGTTTTAGTGAATGGTAGAGATGTACTATGCCCTTTACGAGCATTGCTAGAGCAAGTGTTGTTGACGACTGGTAAGGAGATGGTAATAACTCGTGCTTAGTGAGACAGTCAATCATCTGGATTTAGAGTACATTAAACATGATGCAACCTAACCGCATTCTCAGGCGCATATCTCCCGCCAAGTGCACAGGCGCGCACAGGCCGTTTTAATGACCGTATCCCTAACGCCTCCATGTGCAACGCAAAATGCACGAACGTTTAGCTTTGTAGTGATATCACGCATACGCAGAGCCTATGGCATTTTGACCGGTGAGCTCCGCTGACCAACGTAGGTCCGACTTTCCAAATTATTTCGTGGACACCTAACTTCTACATCATATTACCATTCTCTCCCTTTCAAGGAAACACTGTTTTTCTTGCAGGAAGACGTGGGAATCTTCGAAAGCCTGCACCCTTTCATCATCATTGCAACCAAGGACTCGAAGGTTACGCTGGGCCTTTTCTTCCTGACCATCCACGACATAGGTGATTGCTTCGCTTTTGCACAAGTTGGTGCTTAAATATGTCACGAGTGCTCGATTTCGGCGGATTACAAATTCTGTAAAAACTGGAATATGAAAGAAAAGAGAGTGAATAGGCAATCTAAACAACTGAACAAGGACGTTCTCAGTAACGACGAGGGTGGCGATTTCGAGCATGTTGGTATGGTAGCGTGATAATTGATGGTAGCGCAGGCTGAGGATTCGGAAAGAAGCGTGGAAATTGAATGTGCTTTTAGGGGCGAAGCTCCTTATAGCGGCACCTGTTCGTCCCGCGTAGTATGTAACCAGTCTTACGATTTGACTTGCAAACATTTTCACCTCCAAGGTGGTGCCGGTGAGAGATTCCTTCGGTGCGTTGTTGAACAACAAAAAATAGTGCTCAGTGTACATGCCAATTGCTGATAATGGGGTAGAGAGACAGGAGCATTCGGCTTTTAGTTAACGTGCACGCTGCGATCCCCATTAGCAGCCATTGCATGTACATTGAGCACTATCTGAAGGAAAAGGGTTACTACGTTATACCCGCTGGGTGTAACCACTTTCAGTTTTAGAAAGGTTTAGCGAGTTTTGAGCCGCAGTGCCATGAATACAATGAACTAGTATATACCATGAATGAACTCGAGGTAGTTAAAGGTGGGAAGTAGGTACGAAGTGCAAGCCGTAAGAAAGTAAAAGCCGAATTCTCCTGTCTCTCATTTCCCATGCAGCCATTGGCATGTATCTGCCAGGAAAAGGTTGCTACGTTATACTCGCTGGGCCTAACCTCCTTGGTTTTAGAAAGGTTTAGCGAGTGTTGGGCCGTAGTGCCATGAATACAGTGAACTAGTATATACCATGAACTCTAGGTGGTTAAAGGTGGGAAGTAGACCCGAAGCGCAAGCTGTTAGAAAGTGTGCGTGTGCCACCTCTCGTTTAGTCCTTGGAATGTCCGCTGGATGGCGGTGTTTCTATATGGGGAATATATGACGAAAAGATGCGAGATGGTGGTACATGGAGTGTTGAATAGATGGACGAACGGACGCACAGACAGATGCATGAATGGACGCATGAACGGACGCAGGGGCGGATGCGTGGACGAACGCAGGAACGGACGCACGCACGGACGGGCGGATGGACGCATGGACGGTCGCACAGACGCAAGGAAGCAAGAACGAATGAACGGACGAATGCTTCGCCCCACTCTCCATCATTCACTCCGTGGATACGCTGCCAATTTTTTTTTGTCTCTTAGGCTGCACTATCATCAATTAAGAAGCTCTCATAAACGTTCAGGAAAATAAAACACATATTCCGTGCGCGCGTTTAGGGCCATGGAATATTCCGTATGACTATATACTAGGTCATACCACGTTTTTATGTGATTTCTGATATAACGTGTTATAAAAATGGGCTTCCCGCCAGTACAGTTCCCGAAACCATGCATTTCCCATCAAAATCTCTGAGAATGACGCCAGGGCTTTTACTGTGTTTTTTTTTCCTGGCCACATTAACTCAGCGAAAATTTTCAAACTTCTTGTGATAAGTCTCTGGCTTGCTCGGAGGACAATGTACTCCATATATAGCCTTTAAAAGCCACGTAAGCCATAATAATAACCACCGAAATCTGTGAAGTCATGGTTATTCTTGCGAGAAGTTCAATGTGGTATCACCACCCGCCTTTACATTCTGCGTTTTCTATTACTTACCAAGCGTTTTATTATTGAAACCATGGCGTTTCGTGTTGTGAAATACTGATTCTGATAATATGGGAAAATATATAGGTTTCTTTATAGCGTCTACAATAAATAAACATGTCATATCTGCTCAATATTTTCTGTGTAATTAAATCATGCAACGCTTCTATTCAGACATCACGTGCGTGCTGCACTACGCGAGGCGCCTGTTTGGCCAATAAAACATGACTTGCAGTCCAGTGCCTGCGTTGCCTTTTGTTCAGCGATCCTTCATTAATAACGAATAACGAGGTATACAACGTTCCATGTCCACAGAACTGACACTGAGTTCCAAAGGGATCGCCATCTTCCGGACAACGGGTGGCCTCCTGGACGTGTTCTTCTTCTTCGGCCCTGACCCAACGTCGGTTGCGAAGCAGTACCTCCGCCTGGTGGGCTTCCCGTCGCTGCCGTCGCTGCTGCTTCTGAAAAACGGCATAAGCCGCCCCGTCGTGTACATTCTCGACGGGGGCGTTTATAATTCGAAAACACTGGACATCCAGGTACGAAACGAAGCCAAACTCTGCCATGGGAATTCGTTGCTGGGCTGCACTCGCTTACATCAGAAAAAAAAAGTCTCCTCCCATAGAACCGCGGCGCGCCTGCCATCAGCTGTGGCGACAGTTTGCTATCTCCTTTTTACAGCAACCGAAACACTTTTGCTGAGCAAATGTGAAAACTACGCATAGTATGGGTTAAAGGTTTGATGTTATCACCTAAAATATCTTATTTGCATGAGTGGTAACGGAAGTATTTTTACAAAATTTACCTGGACGTTCTGAATTCGGTTGTAAAACCAGTAACGCGAATGTGAATCTGCACGATTAGGTCAGTTATTTACATCTTTTAAATCGACGTAAAAGTGTTATTTTGAAGGGTTCTACACAGGCTCCGGTAATTCTTACGGTCTAGGTTTGTTCATGGTTTCGCGCTCCGTAAGTAGCGATCGTACAAGTTGACGGCCCGGGACGGCTTTAAGCTCTTCCATAGTAGAGTACCCTGTGCTCTAAATCGTTACCCCCTTTTTCTACCCCCCCCCCCCAACGGCGTAGCGCTGGTGGGATAGTAGCACGTTCTCCATACGCCAGTCACACGGACTGTAGGCGAGATGCCCACGGGATGGCTTTAGGCTTTCCCAGAGAAGGGTACCTCGCACTCTAAATCATTAACCACTTCTAGAGGCGAAGTTATGTTACCCTCTGGCGAAGCTCCTTAGGCCGTGGGTCGTGCGTCCACGATGTATGTAGTAGCAGTAGTCGTAGTAGTAGGTAGCCACCTCTCGTTTAGCCCTTGGAATGTCCGCTGGATGGGGGTTCTTCTATATGATGAATATATGACGAAAATATGTTACATGGCGGCACTTGGAGTGTTCTCTAGTTTGACGTACGCACGGATGGGCAGACAGACGAGCACACGGATAGGTGGGCGATCGCATGGACGGATGCACGCTCGGACGGACGGAAGCATAGAACGAACGCACGAACGAACGCAGGGACGGACGGATGGACAGATGCACGTATCGACGCAAGAACGGACGCACGGATGGACACACAGACGGACGCATGGACGGACGGAAGCTAGAACGAACGAACCGATGGAAGTGCGAGCGGACTGATGGACGCTTCGGCCAACTCATCATTCACTCCGGGGATATGATTTTTTTTTAATTGTGGCTGTTTCGCGTGGCGAAAAGCTTGAGGTCGAAAAAATTGGTAGATATGCCTCGACAGAACATGTATGCATATTCGCTAGGTGGGGCAGCGATAGAAGCAGGTGGAACTCACTTTTTTTAACTTCTTAGGTTGTAATCGAGTGCAGCTGGTTCATAATAACATACCCAAGTGTTGCGACATGTGGATGGTGAACTTTGGCCAGGAAAGGAATCACGCGCAGGACGTTCAACGAAGACAACATGGAAAAACGAAATTATCGTTATTATGTTCATATTCTTCCGTAGAGAGGCCTCTGACAAGGTATTGTTACGTGGTCGTCATGGTGAAGAGAACAAATATTTATCCATGATTGGGCAGCGCACAAACACACCAGAGTATAAACCAGGACATGCGCTGGTCTGACAACTGAAAATTTTTTGAAGGAAAGCAGACATGTATACAGAAAATCATGTGCCACGCAAGGTAACATCCGATCAGTGCAATAAGACTCTTGTTCTGATAAAGCAACAGATGGCTGGCTAATGACTGCCAAAACACTTCAATACCTAAGCAAATACTTAAGCTTGTAAAAATGAAGTTTTTTATTGGGCTAGCTTGTGCCGAGGGATAAAAAAGAATGTGGTTCAGACTGCAACGATATCGGCGCAGGAGGGATCGGTCGACAATCGAATCTATCGGCGGGTAAGGCACGTCGGCATTTATACACATGGCATCGAAAGTTCCAGAGTTGTCGTTGCTTGAAGCGTTAGTTCAGAATGAACTCTTCACTTTGTGCGAGCAATCTTATGAGATGAATTGGTAATAATCGGGAAGGTGCTGATGGGATTCGGCACGGCCGGCTCAGAGCAGGGGTTAAACGCGGTTAACTGAAGATAGAAGATGCGCACGTAACAACAAGAGCTTTTGGTAGCACATTTTTCTTCCTACAGACGAGATCGTCCTGGTTTGCGATGGAAATTTATTAAATTCACGTAAAAATAAACACGACAATGTAAACTGTCTTGAGTCATATAGAAGTAAATTAACAAATTGGGCTAGTTGAAACATACTCGTCACGATCAGCGCTCAAAAAAACACAAAATACACAAGAAAGTGCATGACGCAATCTCTTCATAAACAAGTCGAATCCGTGAGTTAATTCTGACACAGCTTCACAAATGTGAAATATTTTAATGTATATTGTTGTTAATCTCCCCGTCTAGTCAGGAGGGACATCGCAAGCTTGCGTCATTATTAAATGCAATGTATTTTTTCCAATTCGCCCTTCACCGACATCGAGTAATGGTCCACATTTCTCCGCTTTTGACCCATTCACAGATGGCGTGAAGGATGTTTTGCCAGGATAGGCTTCGGCAAAGCCGCTCTCAGCAGGAAGGTGGCTTTGCTGCGGCTGATTCGCTGAGCCTATAGCCCGGTATTTCAGTGGCATTGTAGAGAGTAGGAGAAAAAAAAGTCACACTTTTGCCAAAAGGGTGATGCAATGAATGCGATAACGAATGTTTTTCGAATCAAGGCTAGCGAATGGCAATGTTATACGACTTGAGGCTGGCAGTCAACTCATTTAGATTCGATCTCCTGTAACTCTACAAAACTACAAAACGCTGGTGTAAGAGAACATGGCTGCTCCAGGCACACTTTCGGCACCGTTTTTTCGTGTTGAGAGCGCACCCCATAGAAGCTCGCCCCTGCTCTGGGGGCAAAAGCCACGTGCTGATCGTTGCCACGGCAACCATAGGCGCCCCTTTGCTCCTCCCCCCCCTCGTGTTCGCTCACGAGATAAGCGCACGCGCAGACGACCCTAACCAGAAAGGCGTTGTTCGCTCCGCTGAAAGATGAGGCTAGTGCATCCTTTTCCGTATATGTATGCATATACAGGCATGTACGGCGGCTCCGGCGGCGACGACGATGGCGGCAAAACCAGCCAAAACTCTCCGCATAATTGCTATCGCAATAAAGTTTTATTGCAACAGAGGAGCATGTCGAAAGCAACTTTCCAAGAACTGTTGCCGGGCGGCTCGCGGATTCGGTGCTGCTGATGTGAGCAAGAATCACGCGCCTCGCGAGGCAGTGATTCCTCCTCACGTCGCGCAGAAAGGGTGAACACCCTCTTTGAGCAGCGCCAGAGCCGGCTGCACATTTTTCAAACTATTTAGCGATCAACTCTTGGCTATTTCTGTTAAGTATAATAATTTCAACATTGTGGACTTGAGCATCGCCAGCCTTGCTTTAGGTCTGTTCTGAGCATTTGATGGTCAGCGGGATATCCCCGCTAGTTACAAGCCGGGCCGTACAACACGTGCTACGCGCCTAAAAAATATCCCGGCTGCTCGACTACCATGACACCTGTGCGTCGCAAGGGCACCCATCGGTTTCCCGTTCATGAAGCGGGTCGCACTGCTTAGTTTACTAAGTACGCAATGACGCCACTGTTTGAGGTAAGCGTGAAGGGTTTCCTACAAGCATACGTCACAGTGGAGGACTGTGCGAACCGAAATGGCCAGGATAGAACTTGTGACCTCCGGGTCAGCAGCAGAGCGCCGTAGCCACTGATCCACCGAGGCAGACAGTTCGCTGTCGAGGCTTCCCCCGTCCAACTGCATAGCGGTGTTTTTACGTACGTCAAAGCGCGGCGAGAGTGAGGCTCCCAGGCAAGGGAGCCTCACTATCCCGAGTGTAGTGAGGCTGAAACTTCACGAGTGAACCGGAGAGGCGCGTT